AGAATTCTTTTATGTGTACTACTCTAGGGATTGACACTGATACACGAGCCTTACACCATGTACCACCACAAGACTCTTTCAAGCCATGAATGCTATCTCTACAATTCTATAAAAATCTCTCTACTCAACTCATCTCGCAGACACAACTCCTTCATAAGGCTGCCCTCCATGGGTTACATGTCTCTCAACTAGTTGTCAAAAATATCTTAGGTATCTATTTATAGTAGGGCTGCAACTTGGGCAGGCTAACCCAGCCCAGCCCACAAAAATTTTAAAATTTGGGCATACAATTCATAAATCGGGCTCATGTTCGGGTTGGGTTTTGTCAAAACCCAGACTTATTCGGGTTGGGCTCAGGCTCAACCCGAACCCAACCCAAAACCCAAAATTAATTTTTTTTTTCTCCTTTCTCTCTCCTCTCTTTTCTCTCTTCTCTCTCTCTCAGCCTCCGTCCCCGCCACCGCCGTCGCTGATCCACCACCACCGCCGTCATCCCTGGCCCTCAGCTACTGATCCGCCGTCGCCGCCGTCCCTCAGCCGCTGATCCACCACCGCCGCCGTCACTTCCAAAAATTAAAACAAAACCCATACATACAAGTTAGCAAACAAACAGCTTGAAATACACAAATATGAAACGTGATAGCTTCATAGTTGACATGGAACGCTTCCCTCAGCACACTCATAAAGACCTAAATGCAAATTTAAGAATAACTGTGAGTATTCCCTTTATCTTCTCCATATGCTCTGTGATGATTTTTTATCACCCTTCCTCTGTTTCCCTTCCAAGTTTTCTTCCAAGTTTCGGAATTTCGTTTTCTTTTTCCTGTTTCGAAATAATTCATTTTCATCATCATTCTCTTGATGATTTTTTATCACCCTTCCTCTGCCAACTATGAAGCTATCATGTTTCATATTTGAGTTTTTTTCCTGGGAATCATTTATCTGGGTTAAGCTTTGTTTTATTCTGTGGTCAGTATATGTAAGATTTCCATGCTCGCACAGTTTCTTAAACTAGCTTGTGTTGCTTCAGTAATTGGGTTTTGACTTTTGATTCTTGCAGACAGATCTGAAATATATCAGTTTTGAACTTCTGATTCTTGTAGATTTTGTAGTTTGCAGTTGCAGAGAAAGAGAGAGAGAGTTGAGAATGAGGCGATTGGGGAGGCTGAAATGATTTGCCCTAAATTTTTTTGTTTTTTTATAATAATATAATCATATATATATAAGATATATATATAAATTTCCTTTTTTAAAAAAATAAACTCAACCCAAAAATATTCAGACTGGGTTTTGACCATAACCTATATTAGGTACAATTCAGGCTGGCCCAACCCAACCCGATTTGAGTTAAGGTTGGATGGGGACTGGACTGGGTTGGGCAAGCCCAACTTGCAGCCCCAATTTATAGAGTCTCACACCCAATTACTTGGTAGACAATGATTACAATTTCTTAATGGTCAAAACTTACTTAAAAAATAATTTTCTTAAAGGCCAAGACTTGCCTTATAAGGAATTACCATATAAATTATGACTATAAAATGGAAACATAATTATAGTAGGAATATGAGGAATACTTCCTTACACCTTTGTCACATGATCATGTGTCATTAACCATCTTTAAATTCAATTTGTGCCATTAAAACAGGGTTTTAAATTATATATATGTATATATTAAAGAACTCTTTTTATCTCATGTACAATTTACATTCATTTTATATCAAGTGGTTTTGATGCCAAAAACTTCACCATGTTTAATTTGTAAAATTTAGATGTTCCTTGTTCTATTTATTATGAGGATTTAATTTTGCACTCATTTCATAGCCAGATAGAGCCGAAGAGAGGGAGAGAGTAGAAGCTGCTGGAGGAAGGGTCACAAATTGGGTGGGATGTCTGTAAGGTCCAGAGTGTGCTTACTATTTCAAGATCCATTGGTATGCGGAAATATTTTACTATTGATTTTAAAAAGGAATTAAAAAATTACTTTGCCTTGTGTTTTGATTATCCTCCCCCCCTCCCCGCGGCGCCGCGGGGGGCTTGGCTCAGTTGGTAACACTAGGCCAGTGTTCGATCCCTGCCGACCCCATTATCACCCCCAACTTATCCAGTGTATTTTTGGGGCGAGGCTCTGTACCCCAGGTTTGTAACCTAGGGTGGGTCCCGAAGGGGCTCTACTTAGGGGAGTTCCTGGTGCTAACTCTAAAAATAAAAAATAAATAAATAAAAATAAAAAAAACTTTCATATCCTTCCTGAATTGAAATGATTGTAATAACCTCATTTGACCAACCTTCTTGACTTGAATAATATCGATATGCTTCGGGTGATCCTTTTATGAAACTCTTATGTCATCTCCGAGTTAGAGGTCACATCGATATTAGGGATCAATATTAACTCCCTACAACCCACTCAACGGTTAGCTATTGTTGAAAATTAAATCTCTCCTTCATCATACACAGCGGTAATATCACCCTATCACACCAACACAAGCATATATGAATATAGCAATCATACACATCCATACACAACACAATATTTTATATGATTCACCCAACCCTAGGGCTACATCCATGGAAAGAAAGATTTTCACTATTTTTAATCAATGAAGAGAATATACAATCAGATATCAAAACTTCACTCACTCGGGAATTACATATATTCTCCCCTCTCCTCACAACACTCACCATTAAACCTATTACATCTTTCCTCTCTTTTCTCTCTCTAAACCTCTCACACCTATCTCCATTTATCTAGTCTTGAACCCTAATTCCTTGTTGAACAAACATTCCAACTTGCCCTCAAAAAGTTATCATATCAGTCTGCAACTCTAAAGTAGAAGTCTTTTGGTGTCCACGTCCAATTGGTTCGACTTTTCTTGAAATAGTTCAATCGAGGTTACAAGCAAATCCAACTCGTTCTCACAAGAGTTGAACTTGTTCCAAATAACTTGAACCTGTACACTTCTGCCAAAATATCACATACGCACCGAATTCGAACCACAAAATCTAACAATCTCCGTAGTGGCTCGAATCGATCGATCTTCATGTGCTCTTCCATAACTCCACCTCAAACAAATAACTCTTTGTATTTCCATCCCAACTGAAGATTTCTTCACCTTGAACAAAACTTTATGATGAAATTGAAAAACATTCTAACAAGTGAGGGCGTGAACAAAGCCAAAAGACTTTATTACGATAGCATGCACTGAAATGTTGAAATATGGCTTATTATTTCGAATGAATATGCATGCAAAATTGTGAAAAAATTTCCTCGATGACAAAATTAAGACCTCGACAATGCTTGTCGAGCTTGCAGTGGCCAAGGGTAGCAAAGATAACATCAGCGTCATATTAATCAAGCTGAAGAAGTGAAGTTGCAGCGTCTCTTATGTTTTTACTTTACCTTGCGTTCTAGCTTTTAGGTTGTGTAGAAGTTGAAATTTAAATGTAATGTAGAAGTTACGATTGTGGCTGAGAATAAAAGTTACTTTACTATAATTCAGGATGAAAGGTGTTATGGTTTGATTGACTGATTGTTTTGAAATGAATTGTGTCACAATTTCACGACTCTTGATCCTTATTTTTGGTCCACTGGAAACACTTTATCTTTATTTTAGTGTAAATAATTGCTTAAGTCTCTTTCACGGCAAAAAAAAAAAAAAAAAAAAAAAAAAAAAAAATATGTCTCTTTCACGGCAGTGATGCTGAAATTGGTAGTGTTTCCACTTTCCAAAAGCAAGTGGAAAAAGTATGAAAGATACTTGGTTACGAGAAGAGGCGCACACCAGGCTTCAGCGTATGAATATCCCCTTGTTGGGCTTTACTTAATTAAGGCTTCCTTTGTTTGAATATAAAAATTTTGTTTTTTTAATTTTTTGTGTTTAGTTATTGAAAAATATTATAAATAAAAAAATATTAAAATTTAATAAAAATAACTTACTTGTTAATTGTTAACAAGTTATTTTACACACCTCAGACTAAACCTTAACCTCAACCAAAAGGTCCTAAACCTTTGACAAAAATAAAAAAAACATACATTTTACTTGAAAAATGCCTTGATGCAAATTCATTTTTCATCATGACTTCTTCAATTCCGGCAATTATTTTTCCAGATGATACATATAGAATTATGTGAAAAGCCATATTCGATTAAAGTCATATGCATGGCTTCGAGGAAGATCTTTCATATCTTTTAAGATACACCATATGATATGGGGGTAAAAAAACCAAAAATAAGTGATTTTATCCCTTATAAAAATAAATTTGATTCTTGAACCCCTTTCAAGCTCATGTCACGTCGTACTGCAGAAGAAAAAACTACAATTTTTTTATCTAATTTATCATAATCGATTAGTTAATATGGTTAACCATATTCTAAAACACAGAAAAAAAAATTCATTGGCTTATCAAATTCTCCATGGAGCAGTGAAAAAGATTCAACAAGGAAACAAATCCACTATCTATTTTACATCAAGCAATACGTAAAGTAACTGCCGATATTTCAAACACATTTCTTTCTCCTATCCAGCTACTGCAACAAAATAATTTAGGGATTGTATTAAAGGGCAATTAGATTTTGTAGTGCTGCAACAATGTGTGTATAATTGGTGTAGAGGAATCTCTCATTCTGCACAAATTTTCTCATTTCCTCCCAAAAATATAAACACTAATATCAGCAACCCTAGTTCTGGCAAGGTCCAAACGACCCCACAGTCATTCCAGCTCACTGCCTTCTCAATGTGTTATTATGACAATGCAGGAACAAAAGCATGGGATAAGGTGGAATAATATGGTAAGAGTACTCAATTGCAACCATCATGAAAACACACACATGCCTTCCTTTGCCGTCAAGTTACAAAGTCTTCATGATTTTGGTGTTTTTTCAAGTTCAAACTGTAAATAAATCAGTTAGATTAAGTTGATTAACCATCATTTGGAGTCTTAGGACATACTCGTGAACTTGAAGACATAAAATGCCAATTGCCAAAGTATTCTGCAAGTAGATCTGTGCCGAATGGTGTCGAACAAATCAATAATGAATTTACTCGTGTTCATACTGATTCATGTCGTGTTCTTTTTCACGTCAAGAAAACAAATATATGGATACAGCAAAATTAAATGTTCAATCGAAGTCATCTCTAATCTAAGAAAATAAGAAAGAAGAAGAAAGGATGAAGAAGGAACACAAGGCGGGAAAACCCATCACATTTGCATTGAGCATTGCTTGTGCCCGAACGAATTAGCTAAAACCTAAAATGTACATGATTTCTACATGTTTACCATAAGAAAAGGGGAGGAAAGTGAAAAAGATGGAGGCGCATACCAAAATGTAACCAGCATTGAAGCATCATCGCATGCCATGCCAATGCTGCTGCAAAATTTCCAAAAGACCGATACTTCTGTCAGCTTCTGCTAACGAGAGTATTGTTGACATTGTTATTTACACCATTCCCTCAAGTTAGCGGAGGACTAAACTAATAGTCCACGCGGAGGAAGCTCTCATAAGTTGTCCCCTTGAGTGTCTTGTTGACATCATCCCAGTTCTTAATGTGATCTGACAATGGCCCTTTGTGTATCTTAACCTGACGGCTTCTTAAGTCCATCTGCGGCAGCTTCAGGAACTCTTGAACATCTACCAGTTTCTGCGACGGACGTGAATGGTCAATGTCACAAAACAGAGTGACTACCTCGAGATGGAAACTATATTGTGGCACTTAAAAGGAAAAAATTACAATACTGGCACTGAATTGTTGATATGAAGATACCGTGAATGTAATATTCAAACAGAATAACATTACATTCAATGAGAATTTTAAGATAAGTTGGAATAAGAACTTAGAGGTTATTGAAGCAGACGAGGTAGAAAAAAAGAAAAAAAAAATGTTATGATTTATGAAATATTCAGCATAGGTCAGGAATTTCACAAATGATTCAATTATACACGATGAAAATAATTCTTATAAATTGAAATTTCCCCATCAATTAAAAAAGCTTAATACTTACAGTGTGGTTCTTGATAAGATCCTCATAATACAGAATCATGTGCCGGGTGCTGCTAAAGTATTCCAACGCCTCGGTGGCTGTCACTTCCATTTGCTCCAGATCAGCCATCAATGACGTGGTATTTATCATTGGCTTGTATTTTGAAAGTGTATCAGCCTAAAAGAAGTAATCATCTAGCCATTCAGCATCATGCAGATGAATGTTTGTATGGAGAGAGAGAGAGAGATAGACAGAGAGAGAGACCTCTTCTAGCGAGTGCACGTGAGACTTGTGGATCCCATTCAACAGCTTAGCGTATCGGTCATAGGAATTTGCAAGCATTGAAACCATCCGGCGTAATAGATTTCTTCGAAAGAGAAATATTGCAGAAATACCCCTCCTATTGAAGTACTCCACTATTTCTTTATGGTGCTCCATCAATCCCTGCATTACCCGTACAAAATATATTAGCCCTGCTGCTTCTCCTTTAAACAAACAACCATCAAATGAAGCAATAAAAATCACATATACTAAATTAAACTAAAATATCTCCACCTAATATCCCCACAAGCATAACAAAAGGTAAGCATGGGAAATTGAAAAATCTGCTCAGTTGTTGCATTGGTCAAGATTGCAGAATCCTTGACCTATTTGTTCAAAATTTTCAAAAATGCGGGATGCATATATTTTCAAGGTTTAGCAGACTACACCAATGCTTAATGGTATTGCATGATGCAACTTCCAAGGAACCTCTCAGTACGCTGAGCATGTAACAAGTCTTTTTTCGAGAAGGTATAATAAGTAATATGGCCTTTAAACTCCTTCCCCCCATGTGGTATTATCTAACACACGTGGAGAATGACTACAAATTGGAGTTGCAGAAAATATTAGAAGACTTTTTTAAGAAGAACAACTGTTAAACACTTATTAACATTTAATATTGTGCATATATTCATGTACAATGAAAGTCTTTGTGAGGCATTTAATTTACAACTCATTTTTCATCATGAAGATCAGATAATCTCATTCAGGTCAATCCACTCCACATTTGATTAGTGGAGCTCCACGTTGATAGGCAACACAAAAAGACATGGTACATGACAATATGGTATCAGGGAATGGTTAAATTTGGAAACAGTTCCATCCAGGAGCACAAGCACTTATATACCATTTCAAGACCAAATCCAAAACTCGGGTTAAAACATGTATTTTAAAGACAAAACATCTTCTCTCGTGGTGTCATGATTGTCATCTATGGAATTACCATTCCAATAACTATTTATAATTGCTTAATTTATTTTTGCTGCTGTGCACAAGCCACAAGTTCCCTTAGAAGGCAACGACTCTTGACATCACATAAAACCTAAGGTTCCTTGTTCTTCTCCTAGTATAATCATCACTTATAAATACTCATAATTTACATTTTATAAGGAAACAGCGACATCAACCTCCATATTAGAGTAAATAAAAGAGGTAAAAATTTAGGGAAAAAAATAAGAGGTAAAAGGAGGGGGGAAAAAAACATTCGACACCCCAAGCCTCTTTCTTAGGAAATGAAATGAACAAACAAGAGCCAATTTATTGAACCTAGCAAGACTTCAAAGTTCCCCAAGTCCTTAACAGGCAAGATTTTGTACAAAAATAAATTGTAGATTAGATTTCTGCTCTAAGTAATCCACAGAGGAAGCCCCAATCTCGGGTTAAACTTCACAGACACTAAAAAAATCTGTCAATTCATTTAATTATCCAAAGCAACAGTCTTGGAATAGGCCCTCTCGAAATCAATAATACAACCATGGGTTCTTCTGTATGCATAAGTACTTCAGTAATTGACCACAAGTTAGCCTAGTTTCCAATAGTTGTGGCAGAATTGGAGCTAGTTATTTAGGAAAAAAAAAAAAAGAAGAAGAAGAATTGGAGCTAGTGATGCTACCAGTTAGTAGAAGCAGAGACTTTTTGGTTCAGTTGACAGATAAATAGAAGCCGATAATGAAGATGAAAAACCATTTGAAGAGCAATGTTTCTGGATAGCCGTGAATAGAGAACACAAGTGTGTATTAGGTACCGATAAGTATCGGCCAAATTTAAATTAGTACTGCCTTTACACTTGGCAATTCTTTAACAAAGATAACGCCCCAACCCCCTTTTCTTTACCCCTTTTAACTATCCATTATGAAACTTGTCAAAACAAATAAACTTGGAATAAATAAATATCCACTCCAGACTCCCTCCCGAAAAGAGAATTTAGTCTCTTTTTTGGTAAAGAAAGGTTTATCAGAAACCAATCAAAAGTCAAAGTCCAAGGTGCATTAGAGAGATAACTTTGCGGCTCATCGCATCAAAAAGAAGACCTACTATGCCAATAACTATTTTTCTGCCAAAAGAAAATCATATGGCAAAAACTGGAGGAGCTACAGATGTGCACATATAACGTAATAGATAAGAGACACTAGTTTTTCAAGTTTGACAAGTGCCAGATAGTGGAATGGCTTTTCCAGAGAAGCTCGGGGACCAATAGATAAATATTTACATCATCTAATACGTGGATTTATTTTATGCACTCAAACAAAATTAACAGATTAGGAAATCAAATCTTTCATTGGACAAAGAATTGCAGATAGATAAAGAAATCAAAAACTTGTGGGAAACTCCAGCAGCTGTTATGATATGTGAGCCAATAACGAAAATTTTCAAGTGCTCATGCATACTACTCACTAAGGTTGAATGAAAAATCCAACAGCTACTCATCTGATAGTATTAATGAATAACCGAACGTTTATTAGGCGCGCCTAACAGAGCTAAAAGATAAAATGTATGTTATAGCACGAAGGTTTGAAGACTTCATATACCTGGTTAAGCATCCACTTGAAGCCAACAGCAGCTGAGCACTCGTTCTTTGAAGCACTATTAAACCAATCCAAATTGTAAACTCTATCTAGAGTCTCCACTATTGAAGAAATGTTCTCTCTCCTCTCTTTAACAGAGAATATCTCACCATTGGAACTCACATTAACATGACTATTTAACAGTGTCTCGAACCAACCACTTCCAGATCTCTGCATCGAGATAATAGCAAAGAATCGTACTGGATTACATGCACATTCAGCCCTGGCAATAAATCAGAACAGGACATGAGTAAACAAAAACGAGTCCAACATCCAAACACAATGGCAATTGACGCTCAATTACCTGCTAAAGGTTCCAGGTCTAGGATAATGCACATAGGGAATTTGGGTTCGATCGATGACATCATCGTAACAAGGCCCCTCAAGAACTTCGACCTCTGCAAACTTAATCCCGGTGCGGCCATTAATTTGCTTTACACAGATTGAGCACATATAAATACCAAAAACCACTGCAAATAATAAGACTATCATCCTTGATAATGCAGGAGATTTCTTTGGAGGCTTTATGATGAGAGTATCCTGTGATTGAAAATGATCCTCAGATGTCAATGATTACAAATTGCAAGAAAGGATGAACCATATATTACAGAAGTAGTCAAAAAAAAAAAAAAAATTAAGGTTCACCAGCTACAAAATAATGTTATAACAGAGAGATAATTAAAACATAAACAACTAACTAAAGCATCTTGTAAAACAACTATAATTATGAAGTACATAGAAGAGGGCAATCAACAAACAATAGGAAAAGAAGAAAAATAAAATAAAAAGAAAATGAGGGTTTGATTCTAAGAAACAAATATATATATATATATATATATATATAAAAGAAAACAAAAAAAAAAAAAAAAAAGGACATAAGATACATGTTTGATAGAACCCCAGATCACATGCATTTATGTTTTTGCTGGTAAATCACTGTGTTCGTGGTTGGTTTTTGGAGATAAATTGTCCTTAGAGACCCATCTATCAGCAAAAACCTGAAGGACAATTTTGTTTCTGTTCCTCTAAAAGATAACTTTACTCTTCAAAACCATTGGATATTTATTGCAAACCCATAATCCAAAATAATTATAAATAAAGAAATAAATGAACACAGTGATTTACACTCTGTTAGCTAAAAAAATGCCCATAAAATCTGAAATTAGGATATATCTGTTGGTATCAAAATCCAGATCAGAATATGTAAAGAGAAATATAAAAATCCTACTCCAAACCCAAATAGAGTTAGCTTCTGTACCCATCAATAAATCATAAATTAGTAAGAAAATTTCAAAGTAAAAGCTTGAAGAAAGAAAAAAAGAATGTCATTTCTATCCAATTATCACCAAAACGTTCATGTAAAAATCAATACTTTAATTGAATCAAAAAGTTAAAAGAAAAAAGAAAAATAACCCACCAAAGAAAATAAGGAATCAGAGTTACCTTATTGAAGAAACAGATTTCTTCTGCCATTATAATAAATTTCCAACAATGTGAGAGAGGAAGAAGAAAAGGGTCTTCTGCAGAGGTCAGATTCCACTGTTCCTCAGCCCCATTTCTTTGTATACTCAGCTGCCGACTCCTTCATACACATGTAAATATAGAGAGAGAAAGAGGAAAGTAGCCCGAGTTGGGAGCTATGTTCCTCGTGAAGAACAAAGGCATTAACTGTTCTTAGCTCAACAACCGGAGGGTTCTCTTTCTTGCTGGTCTATTTCAGATTTACAATTGTTCTTAATTTTCTCTCTCTATATAGATATATATACACATGTGTATGCATGAGTCTATTAGTCTATTTGTATAATTAATATGGATCTATTTTTCGTACCCAAGTTCCGTAATCTAGTAATATTTCCAAGTAGGAAACACAAACCAAAAAGCACTTGGTCCACATCTGTTCAGCGTTCGAGAAGGTAAAAGGAACAGAGCACTTGAAGACTTTGACTCTGGCGTGGTTACAACGGTAGTGTTAATTAATCAATGATATTAAATTATTAGAAAGAAAATTACTATATAGAAGACCCTTGTTTTTAGTTTCCGTTTCATTTTTTATTCTTGATCTTATGCTCCTCAAATGAAATTATGGATGGGCATATAATATTATATTAGGAAAATTTTAAAGGGACATGTTTGTTGTTTTAATGCGTTTTTTTTTCTTGAAAAATAATTTGTAGTCTAAAAGTCGAAATAAGTTTAATTAATTTATGTAAGTGAAGTTGAGTCGATAGTCTAACTGGATTAATATTCCTTGAAAATTTTTGGATGTCAGATTTTCACCAACTACATCTATTAATCTAATATTTAATATTTTTTATTTCAAAAAAATAAATAAATAAATAAAGTTGAGTCATCATATTATCATTAATACATATGATGTCAGGTCGATATCAACTCTTCGTATAGTCGTATAATTGCATAGTATTAGATTTGTTGAATCACTATCATTATTATTCTTTTTTTTTTTTTTTTTTTTTTTTGCCTAAGCATGCTCTTTGCCAAAAAATAATAATAATAACACTTACTAAGCACGCATTATAACGGGTGAGCACTTACCCATTTATTCAAAAGGTCAAGTTGTCAAAATGTTAAGTTGTTGAGTAGTGCTGCATATCCACACATTTCTACACATTTCAATTCTCATCCGGATCCGATGTGGGACAAATCTCACATGTAACATTCTCCCTCACTCGAACCGCACAACGTCCTCGTTACAGTCGAGTCACCCTGCCTACCAAGGAAGAAGACCCGAAAACTTAGGGGTCGGAGCTTGGCGTGACACCGTATCAAATACTGGGTCTGGCTCAGATACAAAAAGTAACGGATGGGCGCTGCTCATTTACTCAAAAGCTTAAATTGTTGAATAGTGTTACATACTCACCCATTTCTACACATTTCAATTCCCATCCAGATTCGACGTGAGATAAGTCCCACTTATAACACACATCCATTATGTTTTCTGGTTGATGATTCTACTTTTTACAGTGTGATAAGTAACAGTAATTTTTTTTTTTAGCCATATTTACTAATCATATTAGATCTAATAATCTGTATAATTTTTTTAAAAAATTTGGAGATAAATAGGTGTTGTTTGATAAATTAGTTTATCACTTGAAACTTAACATGTGAAGCCATATTGCAATTAAATAAATTTGATATAAAATAAATAAATTTTGTTTAAAATGATATAATATCTATTTGGTATGCAAAAATGGAATGAAATGCCCATTCCACTCATTCTTTTATTTGGTAAAAAAATTAAAGTGGGAATGATTATTTCTGGTCATTCCCTTAAAATGGAAAAAAAAAAAAAATTATATGAAATTTTTTCACATCTCAATAAATGAAATGACAATTCTATTCTCACAAAAGATTATATATATATTATATTCCCAACAAATTATTTTCACAATCCAAATCCAAAAATCATTGCCGCTATAAACGCAGCATACATTTCATTGTAGTCGCCGCCTCCACCACTGCCGTGGTCGCCGTATTCCACCACTCCCACTACCATCGCCACTTACACTATTGTCACATTCCATCACCACCATTTCTTTTAAAAATTTATATATAAAAAAAATTGTTATTTTGTTAGTTTAATTTAATTGACACTAAGAGAGTATTTTGGATAATTAAATTTAAAATTTATTTTATTCTAGGTTATAAATGGTGAATATCATTAGGTTAAAAATGGTGAATATCATTCATTCCTATATCATTTCATATTTGTAGCAAAATCGTAGAATGAAAACGGTCATTTTATTCCATTTCAACCTAATATACCAAATGTAGGCTAATTAAATTGAACTTATCACTACAAACATTTGATGTTAATTTGTTTATAGTTTTTATTCAACTGAAATAATTCACTATTAATAGAAATAAAAAATAACAAATTCATTACTTTCTACTTTAACAATGCTCTTCTAATTTTCAACACTTATTTTTTAAAAAAGGACTATAACTTTTACAATAATATTGATTAGTCTTACCCTTCAATTCTAAAGTGCAGTAAGCATATGAAATTTTTGGATGATAAAAACATTTCTTAAAAATATGTTCACTAACGGTAAATTTACGTAAATTTCAGTATTAAAATAAGTCTGATCAAATTGTAATATTTGTTTCATTTTTGAGTCTTAAGGTCGGAAGTAGAACAAGCTTTGAGATCAATGAGAATACACTTAGACAGGTAAGTAAAGTGAAGACACTTAGGAGTATGTTTTTACATTGAGAGCTAGGTTTTTTTATTTTTTTTTTTAGTCTAAACAAGTTTATTTGTACTCTCAGAAAACAGAACCGATTACACTTTGAACACAACCGTTTGTCTTTTTCACAGGTGGAAAACAAACTCTTAACAAAAACACAATCGATTGAGTTTGAAACAAAACCTATTGTGTTTGCTCAAATAAAAAGGAAAGTTATTTTTAGAGTCAAATTTGATTACCTTTTTTTATCAAGTTTTAGAGAGAAACTTTTACATGAAATTACTATCTCTACAAACCTATAAATATATCTTATGATCTCAAAATCATTACGGCTTTTTAGATTCAAGTTTTTTAAACCCTAAAAGAGCCTTTAAGAGATTTGGTAGAGATTGTTTATTTTTTAGTTTGAGAACACATATACTACACACATGAGTGATTTAAGATGTGTTTCTCTTGTTGATTAGAGTGCATTCGCATCGAAGATCTATTGCTACCAGTTAACAAAAAGATTTGTCTTTCAACTTCAAGGTTCTAGATTTGAAGAAAAAGATGAAGATATTACACTTTAAAATGATAAAAGCATTCGTGAAGTGCTCGTTGATGTACCAACAATCCTTCTATAAGGATCAAGGGAGTAAGGTTTAAGTCAAGTGGGTTTGGACGGGGAAGTCGCAAAGCCGTAGTCGTTCAGCGATTGGTTTTTGGTAAAGTGAGAAGATGTGAGTATGAGTCGAAGACCATTGTACTTTGGTTTAACTAAAATGGATCTTTTCACCCGAGGCCGCCAGATAGTCTCCAAGAGTTTTCCTAAACCCGGTGTCACTCTAAATCCAACTTTATTTTATTTGCACTTTATTTTTACTATGTGGGTTAAATAATTTAATTTTAATTCAGTAAATATTATAGAGAAAAGTGCAAAAAAAAAAAAAAAAAAAAACCCCTAAACTATGGGGATTTTGCAACTAACCGCCCTGAACTACAAAAAAAAAAACCCTTAACTTTTAATTTGTTGCAATTTGCCCACTCAGGCCACAGAAAAAGGTAAAAGACAGTTTTACCCTTATACAAAAAACCCCCTTGCGTGTACTTTCATATTGTCTTGCGTGTATTTCCTTCATCCTTCCTCATCCTCACCTTCCGCACCAACGTTGAGAATGGCATGCACTACGTCACCGCCTTCATCGATCGCGACCCTTCTCTCAACATCTATGAAAGGTCATCATCTTCTTCTATGTTTTCACGTGTCAATGGTTTGAAATTTTTGGGATTTTCTTAAATTAGGATTCTAAAGAATTAGGGATTTGGTCTTCTTTTCTTTTCTCTGTCTGCTCTGCAACTCTAAAGAATTAAGGATTTGATGTAATGACTCACTCCACCACATGGTATGATATTATCCGCTTTGGGCCTGAGCCCGCATGGTTTTACTCTTGGGCTTCACCCCAAAAGGCCTCATACCAATTAAAGATGACACACTTACATATAAGCACTTCACCTTTCCTCTACCCAAGCGATGTGGGACTTGTGCACCCGTAGCTCGCCAGTGTGGCAGCCTGACAGTGTCTCTCGCACCCACCCACGGCACATACGCCACAGGGTCATCACAATCCACCCCCCTTGGAGGCCCGATGTCCTTGTCGGCACACTTCCGGCTGGTCAGGCTCTAATACCATTTGTAACGACCCACTCCACCACATGGTGTGATATTGTCCGCTTTGGGCCTGAGCCCGCAGGGTTTTGCTCTTAAGCTTCACCCCAAAAGGCCTCATACCAATTGGAGATGACACACTTACATATAAGCACTTCACCTTTCCTCTACCCAGGCGATGTGGGACTTGTGCACCCGTAACTCACCAGTATGACAGCCTGACAATGTCTTTCGCACCCCACGGCATACCCGCCCACAGCGTCATCATATTTGACTCCAATTCATCCATCCATCACATAAAAAGGGATATTTTTTTAATAATTCAACTCTATCCACTACAGAAGAACACCCATCTTCTCTCTCTACATATATGTACACAAATGAATATACAAATAAACTAAGTAGATGTTCTGGGTTTGATTGGGTTATATTAATTGGGATGTATATACATATAAATCAAATGGATATTTTGTGTATTCTGGGTTTGAATCACTCATTCTCGCTCGCCAACATCATCGCCGCTGTCCTCGTGTTTGCCAATAAGAACATTGTCACTAGGAATGTTGGGAGAAGCTGAATCAGACGACGTCGTAGAACCTGCAGTCATCATCACTTGATGATGACGACGATGAGCTTGGTCATCCCTGATATCGATGACGTCGCTCTTGGGCATCTCCGACAAAGCCCCACCATCACTACCGGAAGAAGCCAGAACGGAGGAGGGAGGTGGGAATTATCCGATGTGGACGCCTCCTGGAGGAATTTCTAGATCACAAGCTCCTTTCACCGAGTCCACACATCACTACTACCCTCTGTCATCAAGCTTCGCTCGCCGTCGCCCATTGACGTCTTCTTGTCTCTACCGAATCCGCTGCCGCGGGATCTATTCTCACCATAACCAAATCAGTAATCGCAGAGCCATACAT